TGGTTCATATATCAGTTAAACACTCTGTCAAACTGCTCAGACTCACAGTGTTCTGGTGAGCTTCATGCTTTACTCATCAATTATCAGACAAATTATGCAATTGCATGTATTTGTGGTCACACTTTATTTTAAGGTCCAATTCTCGCTATTAACAAACCATTAACTACAACTTTTGCCAACAATTCTCGCTATTAACAAACCATTAACTACGACTTTTGCCAAAATAAACTCCTAATTTGCTGCTTATTAATAATTAGTAAGTTAGTTGTTAAGTGTAGGATTAGGGATGTAGAACATGGTCATGCAGAACATGTGATTTATAAGTACCAAGAAACAGCCAGTATGTTAATAATAGGCATACTAATAAGCACTAGTTAATACTGAGAATTGGTCCCTATAGTGTTACCGTATTTGTTTATGTACTGTAAGTTTCTCATGAGTGTTGTTCTGTAATGTCTAGAGCTCCATGTTCTTCAGAGAATAACTGGTTGTGAACTGGAGAAACTTCCTGATGGAACAGTGAAGAGTCTGACTGTCTTTGATGAATATGGATTTGACGGAGAGGATTTTATTGCCTTTAATTCTGACCCTCAGCAGTGGATTGATAAAAACCCCAAAGCTGAAGAAACTAAAAGGGAATGGGATCAGCAAACAGAACGAAACCAATTCCTGCAGCATTACCTCCAGACCTGCATGCACTGGATCTCCACATTTAACAACACTAAAAAGAGTATGTTTTAATCAGAGCAGTTTTTCACACAATAACTCAAGGAAGTTGTTTCTCGATACAGTTCTCCTATAAAATGTTTAAAAACTACACTTTTTCTCTACACTTCTTATTGTTCATCTGGATTGCAGGAGTTTGACTGTCACAGATTGCATGTCAGCTTACTAATTTATTAAATATCTACTAACTATCATGAAATAGAAAATTAAAAAGGCTCATACTGATTATATATTTCAAAACCTATACAGCTTGCTTTCTTCTGTTTTTTTTTTCTCACAGAGACAAAACCAAGGTTTTTATAAATGTTTGTTTGTTAATTGCATTATTATTTTCTTCTCCAGCTCCACCAGATGTTCATGTGTTTGTGAAGAAAGCTCCTGATCAAAGCAAGCTGGTTCTGAGCTGTCTGGCCACTGGTTTCTACCCCAGAGATATTGAGATGAACATCAGATTGGATGAAACTGTTCTTGAGAAACAAACATCATCTGGCATCAGACCAAATGCTGATGGATCCTTTCAGATGAGATCCAGTGTGAAGATTGATGCAAATCACAAAGGATCTTATGACTGTCTGGTCATTCACAGCAGTCTGACTCAGACACGACCGGTTTTAACAGTGTGGACTATAAATCACCAAACATTTAATGGTGAGTGATTATGATTAGAATATCCGTTATGCACTAATGCTGCTTCTGCAATTATAATGTGAAGATTAAATACAAATCACTAACTGTAGAAAGAGAAGTAGTGTTGATGTTTTTAATGTAATTAAAGGGGTCATGAAATGTATTTTCAGATGTTCATATTATGTCATATTTTATAAAAATGATCATTGTCCATCCTCAATTTCACTCTGTCACAAACGCTTCAATGTAAGATGTTTAAAAAAAAAAAAACTGGCAGCATTTGGAGAGTCTGTTGTGATATGAGATCAACAAACAAAACTACTCCTGTTTAATCACCCAGGCATTTTTAATATAGTTTGATCTTTTGGATCGATATTCTGCTGTTTCAGAAGGATCTAAACTGGAGAGATAGCTTTGAGGTTTTATTGTAAAGTAACCTCTCATCATATGTGTAAATATCAAGGACATTTTGATTCTCCATTTCATGAGCCCTTTAAATAATGTAGTGTAATTGGCACAAACAATTAAGGTTAAACTCTGTTCAACAATTTAAAAGTATTTATGATGCATTATTTTTTTTTCTTCAGCAGAACCTTTATGGTCTGTTATAGCAGGAATAGCAGCAGCCTTAGTTATATTTCTCCCTGTGATTGGTTGCTGCATCTACCAATAGAAAATCTCAAATGGTAAACTCTAAATATTAAATATGATCATTGCAGCATTAAATCTCTCTGTTTTTTAAAAATATTTTAAATATGTATGAACAGTTTGACAGTATATGATGGTAGAACTATGTGAGGTGATTGTTATGATGGTGACATTTTGATTATTTTCATTATTTGAATTTCATTTAATGACAGAGTACAAGTAAGATTATCTATAATATTTAGCAAACAAATGTGAAGTGTAGCATGCATAATTGCAGCTTGACATAAACATAGAACATGCATGGTATTTATGCACTCAAAATTAATTTTTATATTCTTTAGGATGTTTCCCAGCTCAGATGAGAAGTTACCCAAATAAATTGGAGTGATTGTACAGATCCTCAGTCCAGCGAGCGTGAGATTCTCGAACCATTTCAAAGCATTCAGATCACATCAGTGGTATGATCAAAAGTGCTCTTTTAAATGCCTGTTAATGTCAGGTGCACATGTAACGGAGGCCAGCGAGTAGGTGCTGTGCAGGTAAACCTCACTCCCCTGATCTCAAGAAACGCACTAGCGACTGATGCTAGAGGCTACAGTCTTTAGCCTCCTTGTTAGTGCGTCCGCCTCCCATGCTGGAGACCCACTCGGAGCGAGAGCGAGGTGGCAAAAAAATATTTGTTCCTGTTTGATACTGTGACTTGACTTGACTTGATCCTTAGCAGGACTCGACTTGACTTGCTTGAGGTGAGCCACTGACTTGACTTGACTTGCTTGATTTGTTTGTACTGTGACTTGAGACTTGCTTGAGACTTGATGGTAGGGACTTGAGACTTGCTTGAGACTTGAACATGTGTGACTTGCCCCCACCTCTGACACACATAGAACCTAAGTGATCGATGTTACAGTGTTACACTCTTTAATCAGGGCTGCATGTTAACCTTTTTTGCACACTGGTGCTACAGAGGTTGAAATTTGTGTAGCACGGGCCAAAAAGTTGTAGCACTGAAGTATAAAACGTCTGTTATCATGTCTGAAAACAAACACATGTGAAGGAGTTCATCGCCTAAACAGACACTGATGTTCCAAAGAGCACAAAAAATGCAAACCATCACAAAAATAGTTTTAAACAAAACAATCTGTTATGTACAAGCCAGGGGCGGATCTATCGGGGTAGCACGGGGTGGCAACTGCCACCCTAAGAAAAAGCTGTGCCACCCCACCTGCCACCACAGAATTATCACAGAATAAAATATAAATGTTAGCAGTGTTTCGTGTGCTACTTTTCAGCCGCGGCGATGACAAAAACACTTATTTTTATAACCATCACAAAAATTGTTTTAAACAAAACAATCTGTTATGTACAAGCCAGGGGCGGATCTACCGGGGTGGCAACTGCCACCCTAAGAAAAAGCTGTGCCACCACAGAATTATCACAGAATAAAATATAAATGTTAGCAGTGTTTCGTGTGCTACTTTTCAGCCGCGGCGATGACAAAAACACTTATTTTTATAAACTGTGCACGATGGTTGCACGCGCACGCAGAGTGCCAGTGAGGTCGGCTTCATTAACAAATGACTCTTATGAACCGGATCGTTTGAGTCAAAACCACAAATCGCGGCCCAGTTCACTAACAAATTGTTTTTACATTTGTTCATGAATCAGATAATTACTGCTTTTCAGGTAATTCAGAAGTCCTCTGAGAAATCTAATCCCGTCCGGATATGTCTGAGATTCATCGCGTAATTGTTTGGTTATCCGATTCTCCGACCGCTCGCTCCACTTTCATCATGAATATAAGCCGTAACAATAACATCAAATCAATAAGAAGATGCCGATCACAGAAACTAATAGCAGAGTTAGGTAAGAATCTAGTCGTATTGCAGTTTTCTCGATTGTTAATATAACTGATTTTATTTCATTCCATTAATTCAGTTTTATAAACAAAGACACATTTCTCAAAAAGTTTAACAATGAGTAAGTTAAACATTAGGTAGCAAAACTGATGACACACCAATCAGAATCTCTGCATGCTAACAACGGAGAGAGGAGAGAGCTGAGCCAATCATCTACAGGGGTTTTATACTTACACATACAGTATAATTACAGTACAGTACCAGTACATTAGATATTGGAAATGTAACAATTCTATATGTACAGTAAACTGTAGCACATGTTGTACCCCTTCAAGCGTGTGACTGTCAAATTTGAATTGTAGCCATTTTTATGTGTACTGCATTTTTGCAGAACTGAGAAATGACTGCCTAGAGATATAGCTAGTCTTGTGTCTGGAGACCGAGAAACTGCTATTGTACTGTATACTGTAATGAAATTTGGCAGAATGTGCTGAGAATGCTAAATTTACTTTTTTTTTTATCTGTGTATTTGAATTGTAAGCATTTACAGTCTTTTTCAACTGCTGACACTCAAAATCTTTACTTGTCACCCGAGCACTTGGGCGCCGAATGCCAACAAAACACAGACATTTGATGCCGTTTCGCTTACCGTCTGCAGTTCTGAATCATGACCGGGATCTTTTATAGCTGGGACCGCTCCATCTTTCAGTATCAAACGATGAAACTGATCCAGTTTCAGTGCTTTGGTATAATTGTATTTCTTCTAATGTCAGGAAATTCTAAAGTTTTTGTTGCGCTTAAACTTGCACTAAACGTGATTATACCATCTAAGTAGCCTATGTAATTTTAATAGAACCGCATGTCTTCTTTAGTGATAAAAGCTCAGAAACATTTATAACCTGTTGAAGTTTTTTATATTGTGTATTGACTTGGTGCCATGATGGATATTGAAATGTTGTTATTTATTTTTCATTTTAAACAGTATAGATGATTACTTAATGGTAATACAATATTTGTGAACACAACTGTACACACGTATGTCAGACCATAAATCCCCAAAAGCTATGCATGGGGGCTTGCTTTGGTGTTGCCGCCCCTCATAGACCCCATGCCACCCCTTTGCCACCCTAAAAATTATTTTCTAGATCCACCCCTGACTTTGCTCAAATGTACAGCTTCAAAGTCAAAGTCAGTCTCATTGATAAGTGTCGAATGCATAAATGTGCCTCTCTGGACAATGTGTTGTGTTGCAGTAGGTTATAATAAATAAATGTTTTAATAGTGAGTGTGTGTAGTGTACTGGACAATGTGTAACATTATGTACATGGTAGAAAGATCTTAACTAATCTCAGACATTTCTTTCATCTCATTAATGCACTGACAACATCTAAACATCTATAAACAAAAACTAAAAAAATCTAATGTACATTTAGTAACTGAAAAATCATCACATTCTGTGTAAAGAAGCTGTGATGTAAATGTTGTATTTTGTGTTGTTGCTTATGTTCGTGTGTGATTTCACCATAAAAGAGGACTGCAAAAGTGTTCCAAGAATTTATTTCCCTATTGTTCTCATAACCTGGCTGCTTCGTCGCTTGATGATACTGTCTAGTACTGTTTTCACTCAGAATGTTTTTGCATACAGGATGGCAAACGCTACCTATCTTTACGAAAACGAAAGTGTTTTTAAACTAGCAGCTGGTCAGTCCGGCACAGTCGACACCGGGAACAGACGCGTTCATCTTTAATGTGCGTCTAGGACGCGAGTCTAAAATTGTGTAAATGGCTAACAAGTGTAAAAACATTCTCTTTATAAAAGTAGTTTGCCTTATTTTTCACAGTTTTTTAAGCGATGCACAGCAAGGTAAGAACCAAGGTAAGCACATTCATATAGCTTCCCTGCTTAAAAAAAAAAAAAAAAAAAGAATAGAAACCATTGCAGAAATCCTAATGTTTTCCATTACAAAACCATTACAAACCATCAGCCATTAACCATTAAAACCATTGCCAAATGGTTTCCATTACGTAGTGTGTTTTGGGCATATTCCATTAGGATTTATTGGTTTGTATAGGTTTCCATTACAAATTTGTATTGGTCATGATTTGCTCATAAAGGTTTCCGTTTTCGGTTTCCATTAGCCACAGCAGGAAAGCACGCAGTCTATTGACAAATATAGGCTATACACTATACCTTTTGAGATTGATTCCAAGTTATATTTAAAAAAAAAAAAAAAAAAAAGC